TATGGACCCAAAGCTTAAGTTTCACAGAAAGTACAGTGTTTCCTGGTTTTATTAATAGACTGCTATTTACCTCCTGTTCAAAGAGGTTGCCAAAAGTTTTCCTGTTGCTGTTGTCCTAGCTCCTTTCTTTCTGCCGGAGTGTCACCTGGAGGCATTTTCTGAGCCATGTGCTGTAAGGTGCTTTTGTAGGAAACTGTCTTTCCTTGATGAGATCCTAATCTAAATGATGAAGTCAGATAGTCAAACCAACATGGAAAATAGAGAGGCTGTATCATAGTCATGTTCTTCGCTGAACATGTCTTTTTTTCCCCCAAGGTATTCTGAGAGAAGCAGAGGCAAACAGCATGCAGTGCTTAGCATGGAGAGCAACCTGGAGAGTTTCAATGGTGTAATGAGGTTGTTTGGTTTAGTCTCTGTTCATTTCCTGTAGTTATTAGCATTGGACTTAGCTTTTGGACTCAGCCAATCCCACTATGTCACTGATGAAGATACTAAATAGTATTGGCCCCAGTATGGATCCTTGAGGGACACCACTCATTGCTGATTTCCATTTGGACACTGAGTCATTGACTGTAACTCTTCTGATGCAGCCATCCAGCCAATTCCTTATCCATCTAATGGTCCAGCCATTCATCAAACCCATCTTTTTCCAACTGATGGGTAAGAATGTTATAGGGGACCATATTAAAGGCCTTACAGAACTCCAGTATAGCACGAGTATGGTATATTACTATATGCTACAATAAGTATAGTATATACTGTATTACTAGTGTTAGTAATGCCAGTGATATTTGCATATTGTATATTGATAAAGTATATGCTATAGTATATGTGGTAATATAGCCTGTAGTGTCTGTCACACATGCCTCTGGTCAAGGAGAACCCAAAGGGGAGTCCTCAGCTCTTGGTTTGGGATCCCAGATGTGCTGCAGGTGTGAGGTGATGCTACTCGTCTAAAAAGGGTGTTACAGGGGCTGTGCTTATGGACATATCTTTCCACAGTTGTCTTTTTTTTTTTAGAAAAAGTATATATAAGTGCCTTGAAGGAGAAGGTTGAACTTTTAACTCTGGGGAAAGAATTTGTCCTTGTGCTTATGTTCTATGGGTGATTTGGGGCTCACAGATGTCGAGCTGCTGATGGGTGCTGAAGGCAGCACTTGTCCTTACTCTGCACACACTAAAGCAGACATATAGTAGGAAATTCAATTTAGCAGCTGAAAAACACATGGTTTGGGTTCTGGTATCAGAAAACCCCCTAGCTGCATCCTAAAGGTCCTCATTACCTAGATGGGACAACCTGAAGCTGTAAGAGACTCTTGGTGACATGCTGAGAAGATGCTCTGAAAGCTTTAAAGGTGCTACATAATTGAACTTGATCTGCTCTTCCCATGAATTCCCCCCTTCTCTCCCCACTCTGAATCCATGCTGGGAATCACCAGTGAGAGATGTCTTTTTATTATCATTCTTTTATTTTCCCATTGCTTTCCTGTTGCATATACAGTACTTAAAAATGAGATCACCTTCACGTCAGGCATGTACCATGTTTATTAACAGCAAAAAAAGTATTATCTATGCTTCACTCAAGACCGATTTACAGGATAAATAATTGTTTCAAATTACCTTTAAAAAAACCAAACGACAAACCCCTGAAGAATAAATTAATAACTTAAGTGATTAGCTGTCCACAGTGATTTGAAAACTTAATAACCATTCAAACAGTGACACCACAAGAAGACACATACTGTACAGTTTGCCACAAATTACTCTTTTCCTTCCTTCTACAAATGGAAATCAAAAAATTAAAAATACTCCTCTTTAAGAACAGTCATAGGCTTTGAAACACACAAAACGTCCCTGCGAATTGGCTGCCAATGCAACAGCTTCACAGCCGGGGCTCCGACCCCTCCTCGCAGCAGGTTAAGAGACACATGGAGAAAACTACCCTAATTTGGCTGCATCTGTTCCCACACAATGATGCCCGAAGTCAGTGGGGATATGCTGACTTTGCCAAGGGCTAGATTGAGTGGGATATAACTACTCTAAAGGTTTGATCCTAACCCTACGGAACTCATCAACAGGCTCCCAGTGGAGCCCAGGGTCCTGCTCCCTTCCTCTCTCTGTGACGTGCTTCATCCACCACGTCCAAAGGGACCAGCTGGCCATGGGATGGAAGGGGGATAGCTGTTTGGTGACACCTTGCTACATATCAACTACTGAATTAACAACCCAATCAACAGTACAACACTAAGAATTGTGAACAAGGAGATAAAATTGTGACTACAATGATGGGATACCAAGGAGAAATAATGACCAAAAGGTGTGCATCTCTACCTGCAAGAACCTCATTAACAGCTACAAGATCATTGCATCCATGTGGACAGGTTGGGCAGAGAAGAGAGGCACACAGACTCATCAGGGGCCTATTGGTTTATTGGCCCTTGTGAATTGATGCTGGACTGGTCCCTCTGATTTTCTTGACAGTTCTTTGATGTCCATGCATGTTCTCTGACTGGTGTCAGGGGTTAGGCTTTGCTCTTCCCCCTTCCCATTACAAGTAGGGCTTCTCCATAATCACATAATGTGGGTGACTGTCAACTTTTACATAGAATGGAACTATTACATCATCAGGTGGGAAAACATCAATACAATGCAAGCATAACTTGAGAAAACCATTCTCTTACTCACCTCCTAGGCCAGAAAGATCAGACAGGACCTGGGAACTATTTTAACATCTTCCTACTAAAGTCTACACCACATAAGAAAGACCTGGGCATAGCTGTACCCCTCCCAAGGAGCCATGATCAATGGGTAGCCAAAACAAGCCAATTCTTCATTCTTCCTTATATGCTCAAAGGATTGGGATGCCAGGGTGTAGGAGCTGGCATGGAGCTGCTGAGGGTTCTGGGTTAGTCTCTAGCATAAAAAATTCATAGGTTCAAGATGTCTTCTAGTTGCTTGGACTGTGTGTCTGTGTCCTGGGTAACTTGGTCTGGGCCAGCCAGCCCTTTCCCAGGTGCAAGGGATGGCCCCAGTATGCATTAGTTCCTCTAGCTGGTGCGTATGGCCTTAGAGGTTGAGCTGTTTTCTTTGACAGTTGGCTTCATGGCTTCACAGGAGAAGTGGCCCTGTCCCAGTTTTGGATGTTATAGGGCTCTAAGCAACACTTTCGGCCCCTTCCCTCACATGGAGGAGTCTCCACTCAACCCCAGCAGCACAGGATCTCAGGGTGGAAGAGATGTCTCTAGTCTCACCCCTTGCTCCAAGCAGGGTCATGGGGTTGATCCAGACTGGTCCTGAAAAGCTCCAAGAATGAATATAGTACTTCGTAGGACAACCCTGTGAAGCCATGGCACTGCTGCCCCACAAACAGCTCATGAGAGCCTCACAGCAAGGTGTCTCCCAGCACATACTGGTCCCCACCACATTTCTTGTAGGGCTTCTCCTGCCCATCTCACAGCTGGGTGAATGGACCAGAGATCCCTGAAAGCCAGAGCACTGAGGCATCACATTGTCAGGCACTCACCCACTGAGAGTGAAATGCCCTGGGTAAGTCCCGAGAGTGGTGGGAGCTCCCCTCCCACCAGTGCAATGGCTTTTACTGAGTAAAAGCCCCCAAATCTCTATATACCTGACTTGAGACTCATGCCAAAGGAGCACATGGTGAGGACTAAGACTTAAGCCACGCTGGCAAACTCCCCTGCCTTCTCTCCTTCCAACCACATGTTTCCCCATACATCAGCCTTTTCAGTGGCTGGTGGCCCAGTGTCCAAATCTATCCTAGTTAGCCCCCATCAACCCAAGCCTTAGCTACCTTTTGGTTCTGGCTCTGTATTTAGCCTTATCTGCCAGACTCTCAACTTTGCCCTGGCAAAGTCTGCATTCACATGTATTTTCTTTCTCCAACTTGAGACTAAGCCTAAGCCTGGCATCCATTTAGAGCTAGAAATGTATTTCACACTAAACACTCAAATGTCAGTTCAGAGCAAATCAACTCCAAGGCAGCTCACAGAACTCACCAGACAGAAGAACTGTGAACAGCAGTTGCAGACTTACAGCAAGGTATACACACTTTTGGAGACTTTTCCCTTTAAACTCAACAGCTTAGAAATTTTAAAGCTTGGGGAAAGCTTTGAGCCATGGCCCTGGTGCTTCATAAAAAGTAAATAATTGAGGTCATGATGCTTGTCCTGCCACACACATGCAAACACATCCCTTTTCTAAATGAGACCATAGAGCTGCAGAGCAGGGTCTGATGTGAAGGCTCAAGCCATTTTAATTGCAATTAAAATGAATAATTTGCAATGTTCTCAGCTTCCTAAAATACCTATTTCTAACAAAAGAGTCAGTCATACTTGAGCATCCAAGTATAGAGTGGATGTGATAAACTCAATGCCTTCAGGACAAAGTTCTTGGCAGTCTGTGTAATTAAAGCAGCTGCTTTTCAATATGATTTAAGACTAAATACTGCACAAACATTAATCATCAGGGACTGCTGTAATCAGCTCAGCAATCGTTACAGATGACTATTTCCACTGAAGCCATTGATTACTTAACAGCTTTCAGGAGGGGTTGATACAGTCATGTCTATAGGGCACAGAGTCTGTGGGCTGCTACTCAGTTTGGAGGTGCTGTTTGCTTGGTGCATAGCAGGGGAAAAAATTGGAGAAACGTATCTGTTTCTGTGCAAACACAGACTTCACTGCAAAGCAGAGAGGGATGAGCAACCAGCAGTTTTAAAATAGCTACTTTTGGGCTGTTTTGGTCCTTGGTCTGCCAAATGTAATGGGCCAGTTACCAGTGATGCTCATGAGAGCAAATCATTAAAACAGGGGATCTGAGCCTGGACAAAGTGCTATCCCACGCCAGTGCTTGCCCCATGAACAAATACAGACACTTGTGAAACATGGAGAAAAAAAAGGCCTAGTCTCTCCAGTATCACAAAAGGCCTCTTCTATCTTAATTAACACTTTGGATTATATGTGAGAGTGGGCACTGGATGCATCTAGTCCCACCCAGTGCAGAAGCATAGGGCCCCCACTCAGCAAACTGCATCCAAACCCATTGTGTTTCAATCAAACCTACTGTGTTTCAAGCCCCTGCACCATCAGAAATGACTACTGCTGCTGCCTCCACCTTGCCTGCCCACTTCCATGGTACCGAGATGCAGTGATGACAGGGGTGATAGAAATACAGAGCACTGTACTCTAGTCTTCATTTCGTCACCTCACCAGGCAAGTGTGCAAGCCCCCAACAGGACGCAACGGCCCTTAAAGGCGGTAACACACTGCCTGACCTTCAGAAAGCATCTGACTGTGCTAAATCTTCCCCTTTGGGATTTTTTTCCTTCTAGTGATTATTATTTTACCATGAGCATTAGGATATTTGCTTCATTATTTCTGTAAAAGCCCAACACTTCAGTGCCCTAAATGGGTTGTCAGACCTTTTCCATTAACATCCTTCCCTTTCATGGTATGCAAGAAGAAAATATAAAATGGTGTTGGAAGTTCAAAAGTTATTTTACCAGCATATCCTTAAGTGGCTGGTATCCCATCCCTCTGTGGGTCACGTCTGGCCCTTTCCAAACTCAAACCAAGATTAAACAAATGTGTTAACGCTTAAGCATTAATAATCAATATAACTTGGTGGTGTTGGTGGAACACAGAGCTCATGGAACTGGGAGAGGTTAAGCCTGCAGAAAGAACAGCTCCAGCTATTTAATAAATATTATTACCTCATCTTTCTAATGTTTCCTTCATTTGGCTGTCGGTTTGCAGTCAACCTGTTTATTCGTGTCAGTGCTTGCTGTCTGGCAATCAGGCTGCTCCATGGTAATCATAAGTTCTTCCTGTTTTCATGAGATCACAAATTATTATCTCTGCATTAAACTGTCTCATCCTTCTTGTCTCTCTGTGTCCAGCAGCTGCCTGCAGAGTGATCTCAAAGCCTGGATGTGTTAAGGATGCTGGCAAGGGGCAACAGCAGATTCCCACCCATAATTAGAGCGTAGGGTTGTTAATGTCAGCAAGCCCCATTTCTGTGTTGAACATTGCTGAAGATGAGGAGAAAACAGTCCAGCCTTTTGGACCCTCCACAAACCAAACAAAATGCTACGTTAAAGCTAATATTGAAACACCTTGCCCTGACTGTCCTGACTAGCCTCTTCCCAAGCCTGTGACCTCACTATCAACCAACATTTCAATTACTCTTCTTTCTTCCAAGAAACATTCCACCAGACTTCCTCACTCAAGACCAACCTCTGCATCTGCCTTCTCCCAGTCCTTGCAGCAGCCTTCCACTCCCTTCTTGTCACTCATCCTTACACCAGTCTAGATACACAGGGTCTCCAGAGCCTCCCTGCACCCCTCAGAGCTTCTCACAATGGCCACAGATGTAGGACTCTCGCTATATGGGCTTCTTTTGGTGCCACAAAGGGCAAATTTTGGTTCTTGGGATCAGATTCACAGGAACTGATTTCAGACAGGCAGCGGGTCAGGGCTTAAATTCTAGCTTCCAAAGCCAATCTCTCCAGCCCATTGACTTTGAGAGATGCTGGAAAATATCAACAGAAGACACCCCAACAAACTTGTGTGAGCATGTGCCAGCATGTTTGTGTGTGTATGATGGGGTAAGTCCTGGACTTCTAAGTTAGCTCAATGGGACAGAGTGGATACTCCTCAAGCTCCTGAAAGTTAACAACCCCAACCAAAACCACAGGGGCTGTCTGACCAGGAGGAGAACAGCCTTCAGAGGTTTTGAGCATATTATTTACAAGAGATCAGACAACAAAAATGATTTCAAAAGGAATGGTTCTTGCTAAGTTTTGGGATTGGGAGGAGGCAGAGAAGAGAACCATAAGGAGTGGAAATCAGAGCTGGTGAATGATGTCACATGGGAGATGCTGCAAACCTGCATGGCATCGTTTGGGGTATGGTATGGAAGAAGACAGGGAGAGATGATGCAGTGTTAGCACATACAAGGTGGCTTTGACAGCTGTAAGCAAAAGATGTGTAGGGTGAAGCCTGGTATTGCTAAATCGAATTTCCTGGATAGTGCATCCAGCAGCTAAAGCACAAAACTAGCCACCGAACATAGTTGGTCTTTATCACTGGCAAACAGTATCCGCCAAGTCTTCCCCTGAAATTAAGTTTTGTTTCGTTTTAAGAGAAAAAAAAAATAATGAGACCCCCTTCCCTCCACAGACAAGTCTTAGAAATCCAGCCCAAGTGGAGCTGGGGAAAACCGACAGGACATTGGCCTGTTTTGATGCCTGCTGCAGGCACTACTGCTTCACGCTCTTGGCAGGCTCCGAGGACTGCCGCACATCAGTCCACTCTTGCATGGTGCTCTGCAGTGCCTGTGTCTTCTCCTTGTCCACTTGCACGTAATCAACCTTCTCATCTGAGGCGACTGACGAGGTGGAGGGCTGTGGGGAGGAGAAACAGGGTCACTCATCAGCTCCCTGCTCGTCCCCCTTGATCCTTCCTGCAGAGCACTGAGGGTGCCACAAATCCACCAGCACCATTCCTGCTTTCTTGCAGACTCCATAGCTCATCACCCTCCCTCTAAACTCCCAAAGAGTCTTGGATGAAAGATTTCACCTGCTCTGCCTCTTGCTGGCATGAGACTGTGGTGCAATGGAAGGGCAAAACCAGCACCTGGGTCTTTACCTTCCCACAGACTCTGGGACATAGATGTTTGGTTGCAATTTTGTTCTCTAACTGCTGATATTGCAAATTCAGCCTTACGTTTTGCTCATTTTTTTGTAAAGAACTCAAGAACTCTTACAGATACACATAAAAATCCCAGCTCCATCCCTTTTAGCATTGCTGATTCTACTCACCTATGGTGCTAACCCATTTTCACTCTCAAAACAACAGATATGTTTGCAGGTTCACCCAGGAGACATGTTAAGGAAAAAGGAGATATTTTTTACCATAGTTTCTGGGGTCCTGGAGCTTTTTCTGCCTCTACAAGCATTTCAGAGGACCTCCATCTGCTTGCAACTGGACCAGATAACGTGAAACCTTCACAAGACTTTTAGGTCTCGTTTATCACCTCAGGAGACATAGCTTCCTTTGGATATGTGGATGTCCTGAGATACTTCATTGCCCTGTTTTCCTATGATTTGCTTTAAGATGGTGTTTGTTTCCCCTGTGTATGAACCTGGAGAAAAGTCACCAACATCTGTGTCTTTAGGAGCTTCCCTTTCCACATTTCCATATGACACTTGACAGAAGTATCCCATTCCTGACCCATCTTCTCCCCACAGCTCTTCCTCACCAGGCAATGGCTTAATCAGCTCAACATTATTTAACTTTTAAAGGTCAGGGGTTTTTTTTTGAAAGCAGTTTGTACTTTTCCTGCCCAAATGACACCCTTTGAAAGCACCTGACTGGCAGCAGACAGGTTCCCAGCATTTTCTGAATAAGGTTAAGAAAGTATTTCAGATACTTTCAGGTGGAAAACCCAAGTCTAGTTTTGGAGGATGTGTTGCTCTGAAGGAGGAAAAAAACCTTCTGGTACTTCTTGGGGATACCTCCTGACAGCTTTTGAATACAATCTCCAGCTGAATTTCTGGTCTCATCAGCATCCCTGAACCCCTGCACATCCATGCTTATGGTGACACTTCCAGCAGGGCTACAGACATGCAAGAGACACTGAGTCTGACCTAGAGTAAATACAGCAGTGGTTTGGGTTGGAAGGGACCTTAAAGATCATCTAGTATCAACCACGCCATGGGCAGGGGCACCTTCCACTAGACCAGGTTGCTCAAAGCCCCATCCAACCTGGCCTTGCACACTTTCAGGGATGGGCCATCCACAGCTTCTCAGGGCATCTTGTGCCAGTGCCTCACCACAGTAAAAAATTTCTGCCTAATATCTAATCTAAATCTACCTTCTATCAGTTTGGAGCCATTCCCCCTTGTCCTATTACTCCATGCCTTTCTCAAAAGTCCTTCTCCAGCTCTCCTGCAGCCCCTTTAGGTACTGGAATGAGCTCTAAGGTCTCCCTGGAGCCTTTTTTTTACCCAGGCTGAACAATTCCACCTCTCTCAGCCTGCCTCCACAGCAGAGGTGCTCCAGCTCTCTGATCATGAGAGACTCTTCAGACCATGGTCCAGGACTTTGGACCATGCTACTGTCAATATGCATAGAACTCCTTAAAGATGCATTACTTTTAATAAGAAGTTTATAAAATCCCCCATACCTTTCTGTGTGGCCCTGGTGAGCTTGGCTGGAAGTCCAGGGCCAAGTAATCCACACTCCCCGAACTCTTTTTAGGCGCTGGGCTGTTGGTACCACTAGGAACAGGAGAAGCAGAAATGGGATTTTGCTAATGCAGGGAAGAGACAGGAGAGATAATGAGGATTAAAATGGGAATAAAGAAAAAAGGGAATTAACACAAATCTGGCAGCAAAGCGCCTTGGTGGCACTTTATTAATAAAAAGCCTGGATATTTGGTCACCCGTCTCTGGGACCAGGGTGTGTAGAACTGGTGGGGGACTACATATGTTGTATGTTGTGCTAACAAATATTTCAAGCTCATGTTCTTGATTTCATGTATTGGAGCAGTTCTTCTGCCTTTGTGCTGATTTTATTCACATGCCTGATAACAGATGTGGGCTTTAGCATGTCCCAGGAACCACACCTCAGTGAGGCCAGGCCAGCTCTGAGATCTTCGCTAATCACAACCATGCTACAGAGAGCACTGATTTCCTCTACCCCATGAGTTACATAACCTCCAAAATATGCTTAAATCAGCAGCTCCACCAAGAGAGACAAAATCCCCTCCCTGTAAGCAGTGCCGCTCCCTGTTGCTGCTCTGATAGCCCCTGCCCTCCACACAAATATGATGTCAGTCGATATTAGGGGAAAAAAAATTGAAAAAAATCAACTTCAATTAGGAGAATACACCCTGACAGTTCTTATACATTTTTATCCCCTCTTAATTCCTGTTAAAGTAGGTGATATATGTTTCTGCTCTCATATACATTTAAAACTCCAATGGGACATGTAATTTTCAGAAGGAAGCACACTGTTTTGTGCATGCAGGGATGTATGTCAGGATGGACATCACACAGTCCTATCTGAGCACTTCCATGTCATGAGCTAGGAATGCGTTTGCAGAGCTGCGGAATGTGTATGTCCTGCCAGGACCATCTGTCTTAGCTGTGGGGCCCTTACCATTGCCACATAGTTCTCCTCGCTGTCTCCCGAGTCAGTGCTGGTGATGCTCTGGGAGGAGACAGGGCGACAGTACTGCAGAGAGCCCGCGTTGAACGTCTGGCTGTAAGGACAAGGGTCGATGTGTTATCCATGGTGGCAGGGGCTGCTTGTTCATTGCCAAGGAGGGCAGCTTTTGATGCCTACAAACATTACCATGCTCCAGTCTGGGGACTGGGCATGAAGAAGAGCTGGTGGAATTGAGGTTCTCCAACCCATCCTTTCCATGAGTTGGAAATCACTGGGTTTGGTCTTCCCATTTCTTTTCTTTCTACAATTTTTTGCTTGCTATGTACCTGTAACTCTCCTGCTATCACCTACACAAACCAGGCTCCATGAACTCTTTTATCTCACAGGAAACATTTAGTTGTGGAGGATGCAGAGCCAGCCTTGGTGAAGCCTCTAACCTCCAGCCTTACCACAGCTACAGGATTTGTTTACTGTACGGGGCCCTATCCAAATTTTTTGCTGGAAAACAAATCCTCCAAGGAATTGTCTTGCTTTCAATTGGCCAAATCTAATTATACCAAACAAAATAATTAAATCAGTGTCTGGCATTAAAGCGTGTGTCTTAAAAAGCTATTCGTTGCCTTTCAGTAAAGCAGGGTCATATGATTAGCTGATAAGGGAAAAATCCATTAGCTTCTCCAGGGTCGGACATCTTGTCAATCAAACCCTGCTCGCCGCTTCCCAGTGCAGTGATTTCAGCACACAGTGCTCATGCCCTGCAGTCAGTCTCCACACAATCCAATTTATTAGAGAAGTCATAGCAGCCAAGCTTTGCTTCTGCCTTTCACTGGACAACATCAGACCGTGAATTAGCAGCAGAGCTGAAATTGTGCGAATCCTGTTATTTTTGGCCGGCAGACATAGCTCTGAAGAGCTTTGGTTTAATTTTGCAGACTTCCTTTGGGCTAGGCTTTGCTTTCAAGGCAATCAAAGCACGTCTTGGTCAGACCCCAAGAGTGTCACACTATGTTTTGAGACTACAGTGGGGTTTTTGGGGGGATAGCAGGATGTGCAATCATGCCCCACACTCCCAGTGTGGCTGAGTTGGTCTGGCTCAGCTGGGTCATGAGTTGTGGTGGACCACAGGTCCAATGTGAGAGCCATAGCTCTCCAGAAGTCGTCAGATCCCAGAAACAGGAAATGTCTTCAAGGGATCTTAATTAGCTGCTCAGCCACATGCTGGGCTCAGCCACATGCTGGGCTTTCATGTGAAATCCCAACCTAAATAATTTTATCTTTCTGCCACCAGCTGTGATGTGGGGAACTTATGACAGAGGTGACAGATTGGCTACACGTGGACACCAGCGAGAGCAAGACCAGACAGCTGCTGTTGAATCAGAGCAAGAATTCATACTCACGTTGGCCTGGACCAGGATTTTGTGACTGGCGATTTGAAGGGAAGCTCATCGATGACAGTGTTGTTCCTCAGGTCCAATGGTGATGGCTTTGCTGGGGGAGAGAAAAGCCTTTATTCAGAGGCAGCATGTTCCTAGAATTCAGCATCCATGACTGGCATGAGAGGGTCCCCAAAAAATGGTTGATTACTTCCCATTCTGCTAATCAGCCAACCAGCCCTCTTGCTGATGACAAATATCTCCAGCCAAAATCCTTGCACTCATTTACGCCAGGAGAGAAAACAGTGAATTCCTCCCTCTGACCCACAGCCCTAAAATGGATGGGTGGTCCCAAAAGGGGAGTATGCCTCCCAGGAAATGAGGATCTGCTAAAAATGCCCAAACACCAGAGTATAAACCCATTCATCAGGGATCTGTGAAAATCTGTGAGATGGGGACAAGACCAGATGCTGCCGACCCTGAGCTACCTTCGTCTGGAGTGTTTTCCCATAGGGAATGGGAAAGGGCATCTGCAGGGGAACATGAAAACTCTTCTCATCACGGATAGTTCATTAGGTGGAAGAGAAGAGTGCTATGCTCCAGCCCCAGCCCTTGATCAGAGTGTTGATGGGATTAGGTGTGGACACCCTAACGATGAAAGCCCTCCTCCTTAGGATCTCCTTGGTGACCTGTCAGGCAAGGGACTGGGAGGGAATTGGAGGATACTGGGAAAGCCCTGAAGGAAGAACTGCCTAGAACCAACCAGGAGGAAACAGCAGGAAAAATCTGAGTCATCTGAACATAACACTGAGATTTTGGGGTGGAGCATAGGGAGGGGTGCAGGCAAAGGGGGTGAGATCCTGTCTATGACATATATTTCCTGTAAAGGCCTGGAAGGTCTTGAGATGGGTTGTTCAAGCACCATGAAAGTTGCATTTGTACTATAAGGCTCCTGAAAGATGAAGGGGATGGGAGAGATCTGAAGGTCTGACTGTGCTGGCAGTAGCAAAATGCACCCCACCCAGAACTGTGCACAAGACGACAGATGAAGTCTGAGGTATGAGACGAATAAAAGGATTCCTGTAAAGATTTTCCCACAACCATTCCTACCTTTCCGGTCGGGTTTGAGGTTGCGGTTGACTGGTGGGGGCTGGATTTCACTCAGTCGTCTGTGACACTGCACCATAGCTCCTCCTTTATGCACAGGAAGGGTGGCTGAGGACAACCCCACCAGGTCAAAGTGATGCGGCCCAGGGCTCATGGGGATGTAGAGGTTTTGGGCATTGTCGTTGGCTTTCTCAGCATGGATTAGGGGTGAGGAACCAGGGTTCATGGGGACGTAGTTGTCCTCGGAGTCAGTACTGTGGGAGCGAGCCACTGCTGCCTTGGCTTGCTGGGGGACAAGTGGGAGGATGTGCTGTAAGTATCAGACTCTGCTCAACCCCACCCCACTATAAATCCTTCATCTCTTCATAAATGAATACACATCTGAGGGGGGAACTGCACTAAAACCTAAGCACAGAGGGAAGGGATGGTCTGTCCCCACCTTGGCCATCAGTTTGCACTGAGAGGGTCTACCTTCTCTGTTTCCAAGACATTGCAACATCCTAAGTTTTGAGAAAGGTCTTCATCGCCCAGACTTGAGCATCTTCTTATGATCAGAGTGAGCTGCAGAAACATGCTTAACCTGGAAAGCCTTTCTTGCCTGGGCTCTGATCATGACTAAAATGCAATATGAAAGGCTGCTTTAATGTAATTTCCAGCTCAGGAAATCTTAGAAAGTGCACAAAAGAGGCTGTTCTGGCAATGTGTCAAAATTTAACTCAGAAGCATCCAAGGCTTTAAGGAAGAAGTCAAACTCCTAGGCACTTTTTTTTTATTGGACCAAAGCTCCAGGAAGATACACTGTGTGGAAACAAAGCTCTGCCTGCGGTGCTGGGTTAGGTCCATCTGTCACTCCATCTGTTCCCTGCAGGCCACCATGGTTTTAACTGAAATAATTAATAAAACCCTTCTTGACTTAGCTCTGCAGGCCTGCACTGTGAGGTCCATCCTGGAACCAACTTGTTTCTGAATCTATAAGATGCAAGTAGGTGCCTACAGTGTGGTGGCCAGCACCAAGTCTCACTCACCAGGTAGGAGTTGTACCCATCGTTCATGGACTCGACCGACTGCACGGCACTGCCGCCCCCGTGCTGGGGGTACTCATACGTCTCGCAAGAAGAAGCTGCAATGCAACCACAAATGCACAACGTGTCCCACCACAACTGCCAATAAAAAGGGGTCCCTGAAAACGAGGCACTGTGAGGACAATATCTGTTTTGTTGATTCAGATGCTGATGAGAAGACATGGTCTTTAGTCTGTCACAGACTCTCTGCTATGCTCCTTCCCAATTAGCATCTCTCTGATGCATCACCACAACTGCACATGCTGTGTGGACCTAACCCGGTTCTGTCAAAGTACTGCAAAATCCCAGGGGTAAAGATGTCAGATAAGGTACATCATGGTGACAAAACTGGTTTAAGGGAGAGCTCTGTTGGAGCTTGCTCAGCAGATGTAGGGGCTGGGAGCCTCCAGTAAGGGCAGGATGGGGTGAGGATGAATGCTAAGCTCTTAGATAAGTCTGCCTACTGCTGAGCATGGGTCTGATCTCAGCCTAAATGTTGGCAATTAGGTAGGAGGAGATGGAAGAGGCATTTCATAGAGCTCTGTGTAAAATTTACAGTGCATTTTCTCTTCAACCATCTTTTCTAAGTTTGCAGTTTTGTCATTCTAGGTACAAGTGGGCTTGTTCATCCATGGCCTACTCATGGCCAATGGGAACAGCATCTCTGCTGTGCTGGGGACATCGGGTCTTGGAGATGTGCAAAACCAAGGTAATGTGCAACCTGTGCAAACCTAAGGTTTTGCTCACCCACTTTGGTGAGCAAAACCAAGGCAGCTCCAGGCTGAAGTATGTTTTGATAAACCTGGTTATGAACTGAAGGCAAACTAAAAATAGCTGAAATCACAAAAATCTGGTGAAGGGCTTCATAAGCAAGCGGGTTTGGGGTTTTGGTTCAAGTTACAACATAGCCAATAGTCATCTGGGTAGCTCTGGTGGGCAGAACTCTGTGGATGCCTCTCCATGCCTGCTGAATACAAAAAACAGGGCCAGATCCTGACTGGGGAGAGCTTCTTTGTGTCCACCCCCTGGTTGATGCCAACAGCACTCCAGCCCTACCACAACCCCATGGGACTGATCTGCCCAAGTCTGGTAGACAGAACAAAGCCACCCTCAGCTTCCCACCCCCAAAATTCACCTCGGTGCAATCTGCTGTTCTCCACTGCAGGCAGCGTGTTTCTCCGTGGAATGGTGGCTGCCATGGGGGCCAGACCTAGATTTTCACTGGGCTGGAGCCGCTGGGGTGGGCTGCCCCACCGTGGCTCCGTCTGCCCAGGTTTTGGGGGCCGTGGGGGTGGTGCAGAGGGTGAGTCGCTGGCGGCCACAGCCAGAGCATTGTGGTTCTTGTCCAGTGTAAATGTCCTGGGGATCTGGTAGATGGAGAGTGGGGTGGCAGGGATGTCATAGGAGTCCGTGGAGAGCTCCCCAAACTCCTTGCATAGGGTGTTGTTGGGAGTCTTGTAGGTGTAGACCTCCTCATTATCCGTTTCAGAGCTGGTGAGGCTTGACTTGGGGTGGGTGTAGGAGCCAAAGGAACGTGGGAGATCGTGCGCGCTGTCCCTGAACTCCGAGTTGTGCCGGCTGGGTTTTGGCAGGCTGTAAAAGCCATGGAGCTGTCCACCAACCCCGTTCATGCAGTGCCCATTGCCCTGAGAGAGCTTCTGGACCGCTGTGTCGCTCCGCATGAAGAAAGCCGACCGTGTGGCTTGTGAGAAGCTGGCACTCCTGCAGAGGAAGGGGACAAAGGGGTTGAGATGGGGGGAGAGCTGGTCCTGGGGTGCAGCAAACTCTGCTTCTCCTCTTTGTCACCTTACTGACTTACATGAAGACCTAATGCATATACACTGCAAGGGTGTGAAAGGTAACCTTGATTGGGTTTTTTTGCCTGCAAAGGTATAACCATGCATGGGTCAGGTTTTTAGGGGCCACATGCTCCCACCCAGAAAGGGCTCACCCAGCCCCACATAAACATTCCCCCATGGAAGAGGCTCCTGCCCTGTATCAATCTTTGTGGTGAGAGAACCTGAAAGGGTTATGGGAGAGTTTCCAGTTGTGGCAAATCACTGGGAAAGTGCCAGACCTATGGGAAAATCTGGGAGATGCTGGTTGCAACCCCTGCTTCGACAGGGTTCGTGCTCTGCAGGGACAATAGGGACTCTTTCACGGAGCCAGCACGAGATGGCGCTCAGAAATAGGGCTTATTTGGGGAAAAAAACAAGTGATGTTGTGATAAGACAAGTACTGAGCTCCCGCCACCTTTGGAGCTCAGTACACCCAGAAAGGTCTCGGTTCTGGCAGGGTCCTTTCAGTCAAGGACTTGAAACATCATGTGTTAATTATTCAGTATTGCCTGCCAATTAGCTACTATTACCCTCATTTTATGGATGAGTAAAGTAAGAGCTCCAGAGCTGAGAGGGGAGGGATTCCCAGCAGTTCTACAGCCTGGCCCCATGCACTGGGCATTGATCAGATGATTATTTCTGGCCCAGTTGCAGAAGCTGCCACCGGCCAGTTAGTTTCTGCTCACCAAAGCATTGGTGCTTGCTTCCTTCTCCTCTGCGTCCCAGCCACATTTGGGTTCTCAGAGGGTGGCTTTTAGGTATCCTCACAGCTGGAGCATCAGAGGGCTGTTTTTTCAAACACTGTTCTATTAACTCCATCTGAAGTTAATCTTTCTGAGCCTTTTTCTCTTGTTGTTTTTCAAGTAGGGAAAGTCAGCTGCAGCAGGAAAGCCCAGTGGAGGCTGCAGCCCGGGCTCTGCTCTCAGTCCACGCCAGCTGGGTTCTGACTGTCTCTCCCCTCCCTCCCTCCTCGCTGCTCCTGCGAGCCAAAACTCTTCACGTCAAAAAACTCCTCGCTATTTAAGGCAACCGGCTGGGTCTGGAGGCGGAGAGCTGTCGCTCGCTCAGAAATACCACACCGTGCACCGCCAAGCTGCCACGAAGCCCAGTGAGCCTGGAAGGGGTGACTGGCAAAGTGGTGGAAACCCTGCCCATCCCTTTGTTTGTTGTTTTTCTGATTAAAGGCAGGAATTAGGGCCCTGCCTGCAGGATCACAAAGTGGTTGAGGTTGGAAGGGATCTGTAGAAATCATCTGGTCTAACCCCCTGCTCAAGCAGGGTGACCTAGAGCTGGTTGTCCAGGACTGCACCCAGACAGCTCTGGAGTATCTCCAAGAATGGAGACTGCTAAACCTCACTGGACAACCTGTGCTACTGTTTGGTCGCTTATAGTGAAAGTGTTTCCTGATGTTCAGAGGAGCCCTCCTGTGCTTAAGTTTGTGCCCATGGCCTCTGGTCCTGGCACAGAGCATCACTAACAAGAACCTGGCTCCATCCTCTTTGCACCTTATCTGCAGGGGAGATCCCCCTGAGCCTTCTCTTCTACTAGCTGAACAGTTCCAGCTCTCTCAGCCTTTCCTCTTAGGAGAGATGCTCCAGTTGTTTCAGCAACTCCATGGCCCTTTGAACTGGACCCAGTATTGACCCCTTGAGTACACTTCTAGTGACTGGCCTCCACCTAGATTTCATGCCACTGATCACCATCCTCTGGGTCCGGCCATCTAGACAGTTTTTAACACAACCCAGAAAGCCAGGAAAGCTGGGAGCTTGTGACCTCCTCCTCCCAGCCACGATGAGATGAGACCATTGCTCAGGGCTTTCTCCAGCTGGGTTTTGCAGACCTCCAAGAATGGAGGTAGGTTGAGCCACTGATACCCAGCCCTCCCTCAGCTGTCCCTGAGGTTTGCTCCCAGGTGGGCTAAAATACCTTGCATTTTCTGACTTTCTGCTCATGCACTGGTGGAGGAAAAGGTAGTCCTGGGGGGCACTGGCAGACAGGGTGCTCTGGAGGTGGCTGGCAGGTGAGTCGAAGGTGAACAGGGTGGGCTGGCTGGAGTGGGACGGTGCTGAGGACTTGCGCTCTCGCAGGAGGTGGTGGCTGGCACTGCTGAGCTCTGCTGGGGAGGACCGTGGTGCATGGTTCATGGAGGCAATGCTCCTCAGGGTGTCTGTGCAGGGAAAAAACACACACGTGAGTGGCAGATGGAGCTACCTGGCAACCTCTGTTTCCAGGACTTTCCTTACTTAAATGTTCTGTCATTTATGGAGGTCAGCGGGGTTTGCTTATGACTCCAAGTGATGCTCTCACCTCTTCTACTTGGAGCACATGCAACTATAGGTACCATGTATGGAAATACATATTTATAATATTTTATCATAGAATCATATTTCATCATTTTATCCTATTTCATCACATGCTTAGTGGTTTGCAGGGATGTCTGCGGGATGTCAGCCTATTTCATGGAGAGAGCAGTGGGTTGTTAAAACCTAATTTAAAAAAAAGAGAGGAGCTTTCACACTGCAGTGAGATGTAAGTCACTCCCATCCCTCTATGTAAGGGCATCACTGCCATCCCTTTAGAGTTGGGTAAACTGAGGTACAGGGTGGACATAATGGCAGCGGAGATGAAAAAACATTCTCATGTTTCCCAATTCTCTACTAATTTTGTGGCCTCAAGAGATGTCCTGCTGTTTTATGCTAATAAAATTGGATGCACACCCAATGCATGACTCCTAGTGCCTGCTCCTCCTGCTTAAGGAGAAACAGACTTTAAAATATTAAATTCTTTTCAATGGAGAATATCCCAGAGGTCAGGAATAATCACCTGGCTACTCTAGTCCTCTCATAACTGTTCTTCATGAGTTCGAACCACAGATGAATTCTTACAGCCAAGTTGTAAATTCCCATTATAAAAAAAAACCCAACACAAACAAACCAAAACCAAAACCCAAAATCCCAGAAAAACCACAAGCTGCAGAATATTTTGGGAAAGCTGATCCATCTCTGGCTGCAGAAGACCACACAGAAGACCATGCATGCACTCCTGGCATGTGGAAACCACTCACTGTGGTTCACTGAAGGCACACTTCATAATAGTTGTGATTTACATTTATTTGGTGCTGATGTAAAACCCAGAAAAAAACCAACTCCTAACAAAAAGTGGAAATCCACCTGATCTCTGGCCACCACTGATTTTCGATTGCTCCCCAGCATGACCACCTGCCCTTCAAATTTGACTTCAGACACCCATGCTCCAACGCAGGGATGAAGGGGGTTTTACAGGGTTCCAATCTCTTTCTTTCCATTCCTTCCCTCAAATTCCAGATCACACCAGAAATTCTGAGCCTGATTCTCTTACCCTGCAGAGAAATGGCTGTCACAGTTCAGACAACGAGATGCTCCACACAGAGTGATTTTTTTACCAACTTCTGAGTCGTGTCAAGATACAAAATCAATCTGTCTGCTGCTCATTGGCTGCTGCTACATTTTTTCCCTGGTGTTACTTCAAACTTCACCCGATGCAGAAAAAGTACATTAATAGAAGCCAAAGAGCTTGACTCTGTTGTTTGGTTTGTGCTAAACACAGAAAGGATCAATATTTAACATTGACATTAATGGTGGGGGATGACAGCTTAAAACTCTGATTCCTGTCTTCTTCACATGGGCATTAAAGATCCCTTGGTGCTTTTCAAGGGAGTAAATGGCCATCCCAGTGTCCTTGGACAAAACAGTGCCTTGACCCTCATTCTTATTAAATATTTATCCAATAGCAGTGCAGAATGATTCCCATTGGAAAAGGAGTCTTGAGAGCTATGAAAATCCCAAATCAAAGTTCCAAATCAAGTGCTTTGTGGTCAACCAGAACAAGAGAGCCCAAACCCACAATGCCATCAAAAACAGGGACTGCACCTAAAGTGCCTCTCAGGAACCCCTTATCTTGCTACCTCCCAAATCACAGCCGGGAATTGCCTGTGACATTGTGCTTTGGCCAAGACCCCTTGAGGATGGTGTGAGGATGACAGATCAGTGTTATGTCTCCAACCCAGTGTGAAGTTCACCTCTGGGGACAATATGAACTGCACTAGGTCGGGGTCCCTCCAACATCCACACTATCCCTGCAGGCTTTGCATTTGCCATTGCATCAAAATGTCATGACAGGGCAAAATACATCCAAGAATTAGAAATTACACTGATTTATTTGTGCTAACACAGCCTAAGGGGAGAAATGGGGTTGCACAAAGGAGACGGTCCCCAGCATCACTCCAGGGAACAGCAACTTCAAATCACAACACTTTGGGGAGTTCTGTGAATCCTGCACTGCCAGGAGATCCTGATCTTTTCCCAAAAATCAGTCTGATTTGGGGAAACTGGAGAGTGCAGTGCAGAAGATGCACTCATTGAAATCAGGATGAATTACTCCATGGTTACTCTGACCACATAAATGAAAATGGGGAATGAAGGGGGGCAGGAGGCAATGCCTAGTAAAAGCATGTAGCTTCCCTGGGGAGAGCGGCTCTATTGGCATCTGCATTGATTTTCAAAATGAATTCCCAGCTCGCTTCCCGCAGCGACCTGGCCACTGAGAGCATTAGCAGGAGCCAATTCAGGACTCATGTACTCCATTAGGTCTGTGAGATGAACTCTGTAATAGTAGGTGAGAGATGGATTGCTTTGCGGGGCTGGGAGGGTATTGCAAGGGCTGAGAAGATAAATCCTATGGAAGGAGACTGCCAAGATTGCTCTGGATTTTTTATGTTGTGGGGGTTTTTTGCACTAGAATAAACGACAGGTCATGTGCCCAGGTCACACGCTGACAACGGGTCCTGATAGGGGACAGAAAAGGAGGCAAGAAAGGAAATGGAGGCAGAAAAATAGTATTTGAAGACTAGTACATGCTAAGGGAAAGGTTAGGACATCACATTGGCTTGAAACGCAGAAAGGTCCCCATGAAGGTAAGGCATGCAGACTGAATACGAACCAGAGATCCCAAAGCCATTTCAACTTGCCATGCTGCAGTGCCCAGCTCCCAAGAGATGAGGACCAACACTCCTTTCCCACACCCATGCAGGGCACTTAGTGAATAAGTTCCATGTGGATGCCTCCAGGCACCCGTCCCACCTGCATCATGACCAAAGATACTCAACTCTATCTGTCGAAAAGCCAAAAAGAAAGATGCTTCTCCATCCTTCATGGCCATCCATCTCAGGACCATGGATAAACTCATGAATCTCCTTCATTTAACAGCGTAGACAAGCCTTCTAATACCTTGGCTTTATGTTGATATCTTGAGTTTATGTTGAAGGAATGTATCAAGTACAGCCAAAGGGATAAGATCCTGTGCAGTTCCTACTGCCATTCCCTGGGGGCCAGAGTTAAAATTATGTAGTGGGGCCATGTGAGAAGTGTCATCTTAACCCGAAGTTTCCTGGCCAGTTCTCCTCCGAGTTTGGAGAATTCGACTCCCATGGTCTGGAAAATGCAGTGTTGGATGCCCACAAGTTAAAATTCAATGTCAGCAGCACGATTTCTACATTTACATCTTGCTGGGCTCAGGCTACAGCTGTTGCACTGGTCCCTGCAAGAAAGTGAGCCAGAGGCTTGGTATGGTCAAGCGAGCACAGCCCTGCAAACCTCCATGGTGCAAGGTGGGCTTCGACTGGCTGAAGGCTCAGCACTCACCAGTCAAGGTTAAGATGCACCTTTTTGTCTGTTTATTGCAGCAAAGTGTTAAACCTCCCTTTGAAATACATCCCCAAAGCAAAATTCCATAACTGAGAGCACGGCCAGCAATGGGATGGACTAGGCTGGGAGCCAGGAATTTTTTATGAATGTTCTCAATCCCTCAAAGTGGTATTTCCCTCCTTGTTGACAAGTCTGAATTCCCTTGCTCAGAGCACTTGACTATTGGTGTGTGTGCATAGCTTCACACAGTGTTCCTGTGCTTATCTGAGTGCAATAATAACTCAGCCTCCTTTGGAACTTATTGCTCAGAATATCCTTTTTCACCAGAGCTGCAATGTCAGCTTTCCCCACCTGAAGGCACAGGCTGGGACTACAACTTCCTATACCTTGAAATGATACACCTGGGAGGGTGCTGATTTTTGGGTGTAGCTAAATTCCTGTCAGTGTTCGCAAAAAAGGTGCCAGGCTTGCTTGGCATTTCTGAGTGGCACAAAATTCCCTATGATGCCAAAACCAAGCTGGCAAGGACTGGTCCAAGGGCTCCACAGATAAGGGCTCCTCAGATCTGCCCTGGCAAACAAGGCCACGGAATGCCTTGGATCGCGTCGCTGACTTTGTACCAGTTTAAACTTGTGGCCAATGGGACTTTCTTTTAGGAGGGAATAGTAGAAATCTACTAGAAATAATCCTTAGGATGGCGCAGGGTAGACTGTGCTCATGCACCATCGTCTTCCTCACTCTTTGAAGCACCTCCACCATTTATTAGCAAAAAAAAAGGGGAAACTTTCTCCATGGGAATCTGCCTGCACATCTGCTTTTGCTGCCAGCTCACTCCTTGAGCACAAATACAAAAGAAATAATTAAAACAAGACAAATGACCCTACCAAAACAAGCCTTCCACATGCTTCTCCTGGCAGAGAGAGAACAAACAACATGTCCAATGCATGAGTCAACGTGCCACAGTGATGCCAAGAGGCCTTGGGATGCCATGAGCATGAGTGTGGTACCAGAGGAAGGTTTATTTACTAAGCTTTCCCTATCACCTCCAAGTCAGATGGCATCTGGAAAAGCTGCTGTCAGTCTGAGGATGTCCTTGCAGGTCACTAAGTTTTTCTCCAGCAGGTTAGTGGGATACAACATCTGATTACAATAATTTCCCCTCTCCAGTTTCCATCAGGATGGGGAGCTGTGTGCAAGGACACAGGCACATTAATACTTATCACCGTCTGAATTTTGGGTGCCAAGCAGGGGAGTGGAGCTCCCCAAAAGAGATGACAGGGCACAGCTGCATCCTCCACTGCAGAGGAGCTGAAGGGTAGGGACAACAGTGACATAGGGCTTTTGAGCTTTTCCCTACCAGTTTCTGATGCTAATTTCCATTTGAGATCAGTTTGAGAAACTGATCAGGAGAGAGTGGCCAAGAGAAAGGAGAAGCATCTCCACTTTACAGACAAGATCTGCTGCACAGAGGGCTTCTCTTACCCAA